AACTCTTCTTAAACACAAATGTATTCTTTCTTAATGAAGAGACAGAGCTGTACACATTTTTTCTCTAGCAAAGAAATGGGGCAATGGTATAATATTTGGGGAAATGACTCATTTCCACTCATAAAAGGATTTCATATAAACTGATGAAAACCTAAGAGATTTTTAAGAAACTTCTGCCATTATTTGGCTGTAAGATGGGAATATGATCCAATCCCTCTTTATGTTCCTTTGTGGGCTTCTCCGCCCCAGCCTCCCTCCAGTGGAGTGTACCCCAGGGTGGTGTCCACAACCCCTTCTCCTTTCTCGCTGTTCATCTTGTTTCTAGAGAGCCTCGCCCAAGCCCATGCTTCAGACATCAGCTGTAAGATGTCTCCCATGTGCTTTTCTCTAGCCCGAGCCCTGGAGCCCATAGACACCTCTCATGAATGTCCCACAGGTGCCTCAAACTCACACCTATCTACATGAAATTCATCATCTCCTGCTCAGCCCCAGCCTGCCCACCTTCTGTGCACCCTCCCATGGCAGAAAGTGCAAGGTTCCTTCCTCATCTCACACTTCAGTGCAGGCCATTTCCCATGCCACAGCTCTCAACACTACCTTCACTGCCACTCCTGGCTCAAGGCCCTCGTCATCTCTCAACCTGACTGACCGCAATGACTGCTTGGAATTCCTGCGGCTGTCTTCCTCTAACCACCCTCTACACAATGTGCACCTCGAGGGCCTAGCTCCCCCATTTGCTGGATTTGGTGAGCACTTAATTCAAGTCATAAGGTGAATTCTGGAACAGGAAAGAAGCTGGAGAGGAAGGCAAGAAACTTGCAGGGCAATTTAAGGTGTTTGAGTCATTTCCTTAGTTCAGAATTCTTTTTGTCTGTAAAGGATAAAGACAGCTGTGCTTAGTATTCCAAAGAAAATATCACAGGCTCTGAAGGAGAACCCCCAAAGCAAGTCGCAGGGAAGTCAGGACTAACAGTACCATCACTGGAATCAGTTTCAAGCTTCCAAGGCCATGATTTTAAAGGGGAAACCACTCATCTGGGTGGATAAATCTGTGCGAAACTGAATTGTACATGAAAGGCATATGAAAATGGTCTGAGCTCCAGCTGCCATCCTGCATGCCCTGACCCTGCCATGACAGCATACACACCACAGTGCTTCCCTACTGATGGCACACGGGCAGCTGTGCCCAATCTCTTCCACCCTGTGCAGGGAGAGGCTGTTCTGCCTCTTTGTATAACCTGCCACTCTGAAGGGTAAAGGAAGGGGAAACAGAATTTTTCAAGCACTGTGTTGCACGCACCTTATGGGCCAGCTCACTCAGACTTTAGCCCCACCTGTGAGGTGGCCATTATTTGCCCATTTCACAGATGAGGGAACAGAGGTCCCGAGCAGTGAGAGGGCCCAGGGCTGCAACGATGAGAGGCCAGGTGTGGACTCCAGTCAGACGATGCACTGTTCCCACTAGGCTGTGCTGCCTTTTGGATTTTGGCTTTTGGCTTTTTTTTGCCTTCACTTGTTCGTGTCATTTTTAGGAAAGAGATTTGGTTTCAGTCTTTTATTTCAGGCATGGAGAAGAAACAGGGGGTCCAGAGAGCAAGAGGATGCTAAGCCAGTCCTCTGCCCTTGGCAGCCAATGCTCACGAGAGCAGACATGTGGACCTGGACATCCCTGGAGGTCCCCAGCCTCACAACTATGCTTATAATGACGCTTCAGTGGGCCGGCGTGGCTGTTCTGACTCCTGCCTGGCTGGCCTATGTCAGTGTGCCACGCTGTTCCTATGCAGCAACACTCACCTAGACCACCAGAACCAACTGGAGAAAAAGCGCAGGGTTGGAGCCAGAGCTTGGTTCTGCTGTTTTACTGGTTCTGTGACGCTGGGCAGGGTTTTAGTTTTTGTGCATCATTTTCTTCAACTGCATAATAGTGATAATTCCTACTTGAGTGGATTGTCATGAAGATTCAACAGGACAACATATGCAAAAGGCTTGGGATAGAGAAGCCATTCATAAGTATCCATAATACTAGTAATAACTGAACACTAGAACATTCTAATAGTTATTACTGATGATTCTGTCTTACTGTTGAAAACAACCTATAGCTTTTATGTTATACTCATCAAAGTCACTCATGTATTCAACAAAGAATTCCCAAACACTGTTCTGGGCTCTAGGAATATGGTGAGGAAAACAAGACAAGATTCTGCTCTCACAGAGCTTGTGCTCTAGTGGGGATATGGGGGGAAAGCAAGTAGGGTCATGGGACACAGTATCTGGGAGCTGCTGCAGGTGGGATCACCGGGCCTCTCTGAGGGAAAAAAACACCTGAGACCTGTAAGACATGCCAGGAGTAGACAGAGAGCACTTGAAGTTTCAGGTGGCATAAGTAGCAACACAAATGCCTCAGTCCGAGAGGCTCAAGGCTGGGGAAAAGACTGGATCCCATGCTTCCTCAACAGAGCTGTTTTCACGCTCCACTTCTTACCTTCTTGAGGGCTGGAAATCCAGCTCTTCCCTGATTAACTAGGGGATTCTGGGCAAGACCCTTTGCTGCCTTTTGCCAATGTTAAAATGAGATGCTAATGTTCCACCACCTCTTGGTGCAATTATTAAGAGTATCATGGATAAAATGAGAATCAAAAAGTTCTGTCCACTGCAAACTGCTGCACACTTAAAATGCTGTCACTTGCCAGGCAGAGTCACTGGAGGCATGCTGTGTGGTAGCCACATTCCCCACGTCTTAGGCACAGGACAGTGTCACATCCTAGCAGCTCTAGATGACATCTGTTCTCGATCTCCTGACCTCGTGATCCACCCGCCTCGGCCTCCCAAAGTGCTGGGATTACAGGCTTGAGCCACCGCGCCCGGCTATGACATCTGTTCTCACACACAGGTAGCATATTCCATTTGGCTTCTGTCACACCAGTATCCAGATGAGCTGCACACACACTGCTGGACATGAGCTGGCAGGGGCTTGGCAGACCTATCAGTTTCCTTTTGAAACCCACCTAGAAATGATAAGCTAAGCAGCTGGAAACTCGAGGGCAGGTAACTAAAAGGAGGTGCTATCAGTAGTTAAGGTAAGATTTCACTTTTCAGTCATTATCTTACTTTTTTCACATTACCATAGCACTAGCAATTCAAACAATTAAAAAGCATCATAGTGGCATTTATAAAAGACCTATTTAGTCTAGACGATTATTTTACTGTTGTTGAAAAGACATCTATTATTAGTAAAATTCTTCCAAGGAAAAATTTATTCTCTAATTATGCTACTGCAAATTTAAAGCATATGAAAGGCACACTAAGAATTAGGAACTCAAATGGGAAAGTGTATATAAGATACACATTTATAATTTTTAAAACTCAGTATAAAAATCAGGGCAAGGGCATTGAGGATGAGTTTCTCAATGAAACAGTCTCATCAAAACCAGTTAAAAATAAATGATTAGGCAGAGAATAGTATTACCATTTGTATTTCTTCTGGGGATAACTCATCTTCACCTTTGCCATCTCCCCAGGTTCCCAATTCAGGTTGTGTTTCAGCCAAAATCTTTTCTGTTCAAAAAAAATTGAAAATAGAAGACCAAATATTCATTTTAGAATAGGCTGGCTTAGGATGTAATCATAACACAAACATGAGATGGAGCAGAATCTTACAGCTTTGTCCATATATTTCATGATCTCTGGGCTAATATTCAGGAACTGCAGACATGATTCTTTCACAACATTTAGGCTGTAAACTGTCTTTGTGCAGGCACATGCATGTGTGCGTGTGGTGGGGAGGGGACCTACGCACGGTTTCAATATTGCACCAATGTCAGCAATGGCTGCAAACTAAATGGACATTCTTCAGAATGAGTCTTAAAGTATGTTTTACTTCAGGACACAAATACGCCTCTCTACTTGTAAAGACTGTAAGACATATTTTTAATGTAAAAAACACGTATGCATATACATGTATATATATACACACACACACACATATATATATATATATATACAGGAAGTGATATACCGTTCCCCAATCCTGTTCCTCTCCCAGAAGTTACTGCTTTGATGTAGCGTCATAGATTTTATCTAAACATATTCACATCCAAAGATATGAGTCCCTGCCTACCTATGAAATTCAAGTAATACACAGTTTTGTGTGTATGGTTGCTTGCTTTTCACACAGATATCAATGGTAACATACTGTTCTAAAACTTGCTTTGTATGATTTATTGATACATCTTGGAGATCGTCCAAGTAGATCTACCTTGTTCTTTTAAGTTGCTGCATGATATTCCATCGTGAGGATACACTAGTCTTTAGCCATAACTACACTGACAGACCTCAGTGGTTTCAGACTGTTCACTGGGGTAATAATGGTACTGTGTCCCAGTCTGTGCTTTGTACACATGCTGGAGTGACTCTCTAGGACAGACACCTGGGCATGGAACTGCTGAATGGGAGCGTAGGGACATTTTAATCTGGAGAACTTTTTCATTATGATCAACAAAACATGATGCATCCTCCATGAAGCATGTCAATACCACAGGCCCCTAGAAAGGACTGCTGCTGCCCAGGACGACAGTAAGAGGTCTGTGCAGTTCATCAATGGGGTGGGGTTGGGAGTGGAGGGGAGAGGGATGGCAGGGATGGATCCTCGGGGGAGACTTTAATGAAATCACTTTGTGTCTGTGTGTCTCAGTGGTGTCTCTGGGCTTATCAGTGAGCTTCCAAGTACTCAAAGGCAAATACTGCTTCTTTTCCTTTTTTCCTCAATCTCAGTAAATTTCTTGTAGTCGACCTCAGCTCCATGAGATGGTGACAAGTCCAGATCTTTGAATAGGGGAAGAGAACATAATGATAGCAACAGGGTAGAGAAAGCTGACTAGGCAGGCCATGACTGAAAGTTATGGTTATTTATTAGAAATATATCTTTACAAAAAAAGTCTCCATGTCA